TACACTGTAAAATACAGGTTTCTAGTACCTACAATATAATACATCCTATTGTTACTAGCTCACTGATTTTACCACACAAAAGCGATTTATGATCATAATGCGATTCCGGTAAGTGACATGAAATAACCGACAACTACTGACAATTATTCTCACATTATAGTATTGTATTGATAGCTAGTTTAATTTTTTTGTTGTTCTACGTACAATTGTTCAGATAGGAGATACATTATTTTTATATTAAAGATAGTAAAAAATCATTTTAAAGGTAGAAAATGACTGACAGTAACGAGTGACGACTGTCTGAATAGATTAACAATTATCTCTATTGAATTTCCTCTTATCATAATAATTATAAACTAATTAGTTAAGCTGTATTATTGATATATTTACAAAATAAAATGCACGTGAAATATATATTATTTAATAATAAAATTAATTTACTAAAATTTAAACATTTAAAATGGAAATATTACTTAAAAACTTTCCTTTAATTTCTCCTGTATTCTACAGATCAATTTTTTTTTTTTTTTATCAGGGCGCAAAAAAATGTAAATATCCATAGGTGGAAATGTGAGAGCTTTAGAAAACTAAGTCTCATTTGAAAAAAAAAATTGTCGAAAATATAATTGCATGTTATCATTGATGTTAAAAATGTTAGCCCCCTCCCTGAAATTGTAATGGATTTTCACCTATGAATACGTGTCTATTTTTTCTTATCTATAAAACTAAAATATTTAACACAATAAAAAAACACAGATAATATTCTTAATCATTACCTATAAACATGAAAATATGAAGTCAATTTATTATTTATCATTAAATTAAATTTAACAATATACAATTGACTCGACTGAACGCAAATTCACACTGTTGTACATTTGTAAAACTGAGACAATATATGTATACATTCTCTAAAACAATGGTTTTATGAATATTATCGGCTGTTTGCGAACCCTTGGTTAACAACGCGGCGTCTGCGCAGTAGGTGCTTGTCATCTTGTGCTGCAGCCACCCAAATTCCACCCTTTACGGAGGGTGACGGGTAGGCGTTCGCGACGTGGAGGGATGCTGAGTGACAAGCCTCGTCGAGATACGACCGCGTTATGCCGAAACACAGCCACCCTCATCTACACCGCTTTCGAAAAATAAAAACACCCACCACCCACTGCCGTCAAAAGTAACTAAAATGATAGACATGGCTGCAGTGGCGGGCGGGAACATGTTCTAACATCGACGTACGGGCATATCGATTTATTGGCTTAATTGCTTAAATACTACTCGAACAGTTTACCGTGTTAAACAAAACATCAAATAGTACAATAATATGATACTGAAGTACAAAGTTAAGATATTAAAAAAAAAAAACTGTATAATACTCAAAATAAGTAAATTAAAAATATATAAATTAACTGTAATTACACATTTTTTGGTTTCAACTTAATTAACATATATTTGTATTCTAAGAAACACATAGCACTCAGGAAATGTTCATCAATTGTTCACATTTCATTATTTTCCAATGATATTACAATAATATTATTAGTGGGTATTTAATACAAATATTGGTATCGTCTAATAAAGACGATGTAATATTTGTATTTTTAATTCGTTTCATCGTCTGAGGTGAGCCAATTTTATTTGTATTCGAATACAAGAATAAGGTACCTACAATAATAATGATACCTACTATAATTTTCAACATTAAATAAAATAAAATTCAGTTAATAATAAATTGAATGGAATTTAAAAATAATATAACAATGTTGATACGCAATCATACAAATTTAATTTGAATACAAATCCTAAGTTTTTTCTTCGTAGATGCAAATTGATGAATTATGTATTTTTCTGAAATTGTATACTTACTATAATGCTTTTATCTTTACACTTTAATACCGCTAGTTCGTAAAGTCTATCTTGATTCATTGTCGTCTAGAGTAATATTATTAATCTATTAAAAAATATAACTAAAAATAAAATAATTAGCGGAGCTAGAAATTTTACGGGACGCAGTAACACATAGTTCATTATTGATATAATTATGATAATAATTATATAATAATAATAATAATATGATAATATTATATATAATATTATTATATTATTATTATAATATTATGATAATAATAATTATCATTATTGATATAATTGTGCATGCACAATTATAGAAATGGTTTGCTATTCTATTCTAGTAATACCTATTAGATTAATGCTATGACTGTGGGCATCAAAATAGATTAGCAGTATAAATGTGAACAGATAATACACAATTTCAGAAGAAAATATTATATCGTTTAACACTGTTGCATGTTAATCAAGTCTCGTACAATTTTTTATCAGAATCTGATATTACGATAGATAAGTTGCGTCTCACATACTAGGACGTAGTTTACATAGTATATACTAGGTAAATGTATCAAATAAAAAGAAAACTTAAATATGCAACTGAAAATTATAAAAGGAAAACTCTCGCGTTGAAAGTACTGTAAAATACTTAACGAGTAAAAGTAAAAGTCAAAGTCAAAATAAAAACTATTTAAACATAATCACGAAACTTAAAGTGTACCAAACCCGTCAATAAAATATTGAATGTAAGCAGTATATACCGTAATAATGCGCTCAACAAGTTTTAATTATTTTGTTTTTATTTTTTAATGCAAACGTATCAACTTTTGCAAATAGTATTGACTAACTTAGTTTTCCGATCAGATTTCTGAAAATTGTACTTGATTATTTACATTTTTCATTTTTTTTTCAGTTCAATATTAATTAATTATAATATTTAAAATTATAATTATTCAAAATTTAAAAAACTTGTTTTGAAGGGTTTTAAAGTTCAATTAAAAAAAAAAAAAAAGCGGAATAGTCATTTTCAAGTTAACTAGTTAACTTTATGAAGAAAACAAATATATTTTTAGAAATTGTATTCGTTAACTAGATTAATTCATACAACTGCCATAACATAGATGCATTTTTGTAGAAAACATGACAGGGATCATATCCTCATAAACTTTAAATGGCCCTACGCAATTATAATTGAGTATTTCACATGCAATAATAGTTCTATTATCTAGTTTTATTATTTTTTTTTTAAATTAGCATTTAGAAACAAAAGATTTTTAATTTATTAGATCAAGAAAAATTATTCAAATAAATTAGTCCTGCATAAATAATTTATTGACTATTTTAGTGTAAAAGAAAAGGCATTTATTTTATTTTAATACGATATTATGTTCGAAAAGTGAAGGTCACCTTCACAACAGATCAATAATTGAAAGTCGTAAAACTCGAGCCTTGTATGAGCTAATTTCTCGAGCTCGCCCGGGCATTTTTCGGGATTTGCGCAGAAAGACGACAACAATCTGTAAGCGCGGCGGTCACCTATAGGGATGTTGCTGCTGACACAACGACTGCGGGCAACAGTTTATTGATTTATGTTTCAACGCTGGAGCTGAACGGAAGACGATTGCTGTCGATTTGCAACGATAGAGAGTCCACAAAACTTGTACAAACGTCACACATTCGAGTAAGTACATAATTACATGCTGTTACATTTATATTCATGTATGCGTAAAAATTATAAATCAAATTTTATGTTTATGAAATATAATTTTATTATCACTCTACGTTATTATCAACTTGTTTAAAACGAAAAATGTTCATTTTACTACATACGATTAGACTAAGAACTGTAATCTAAAAAGAAGGAAAGCATTATTTTTTATACGATACATTCAAAAGTGTGTACATGACGATAAAAATATAAAAATATTGTAATTCATTTAATATATAAGTAACCTTATTCACAATTAATGAAAAAAAAAATATGGTTCTACGTATAAACACGAATATACGTGAACGTTTTTTTTTGTGTGTATCATGACCTTGTAACGAATATATTAGGTGTTCAATAAGTTTAAAACTCTTCATTAGTTAATTACTGAACGCATACTTTAATACATAGAACAATCACAGATAACACTGCTGTAAGTCTATAATAAAAAATAATTAATAATATTATATTGTTATCGTTTGTCAGTTCCACTTAGTCTAATGTTCATTTCCACACTTTTTAAACACTATATTTTTTCTATATTTTTATAACTATATATATATATATTTATATATATTAACATATGTTTTGGTTTCCAGTTTTATGTTAGAGGGGTGAACATAATATGTACAACAGTTTAAGGGTGCGAGGCAGATTCGCTGCAAAGTGTGTGTGTGTGTGTGTCTGTGTGTGTGTGAGTCTGTCTGTGTGTGTGTGTGTCTGTGTCTGTGTGTGTGTGAGTCTGTGCGTGCGTGCGTACGTGTGCGTGTGCGCGCGTGTGTTGTTTTTCGCGTTAAGAATGTATAAAATACTCCCCTAGTTTAATGAATAAATTGAATGGAATAAAGGTCAAGCCTCTTCAGGGGTACCAAAAATTTGTAAAACACCTGGCCGATTCCAATTATAGCTATATCACTCGAAATGTATACAGTAGAAATACTTTATCTGTTCAATATACGTTTGACGACTGCGCGTAATAGTAACCTGCTGTTTATAGTCCACTTGTGTTTAGTTTTTTTCAGCTTAAAAAAATCTTTGCCGTCATGTCGGAATTGCCGATTAAAGAACGTTTTGATTGCATCGAAAAGTCGTTGAGTGATTCGCGAAACTACCGTGGCCTGAAGTTAAATAACGACCTCACAGTTTTGTTGATCAGCGATCCTAAAACTGAAATTTCAGCTGTATCATTATCTGTCGCAGTTGGTAAGTTATTTTAAATAATATAATTAAAAAATAATGATATATTACAATTGTTAGGCGAGTAACAAGTCATATAATGTTATATATATATATATATATATATATATGTATACCTTTATACCTTTTAAACAAGGTTCCGATTATTGTTGATTTATAATATTACTATTATTATTATTTTCTGCATATTAATATAGGAAGTCTAAACGATCCGAAAGATATCCAAGGTCTGGCGCATTTCTGCGAACATATGATTTTTATGGGCACAAAAAAATATCCAGAGGAAAATGAATTTTCACAGTTCATAACACAAAATGGGGGAAATTTTAGTGCATACACAGCATTGGATCATACTAACTATTATTGTTCCGCTAAGACAGATTCATTTGAACCATTATTAGACAGGTTGATAAAAAAATTTTCGTACTATTATATTGTACTCTAATAACAATACATTTATTTATTTTTAATATTAAATTTGCGTTTAGATTTTCCAGACTTTTCTACGAACCATTATTCACTGTCAGTGCGGCCAAAAGAGAAATCAATTCTGTTAATGCCGAACACGAAAATAATAAAACCAATGACAGTATGCGTTTGACTCAACTAAAAAGAAATATGGCTGACCCAGCCCATCCATTTAACATGTTCCCAACAGGTACTTAATCCATTAATATAATTACATAATTAAGTAAAATAGTAGTTAATAGTTATTTATTGCCACACGATTAGACACAACTGTCTATTCATTTCACCGACGCGTAAACTGTTTTTTGTTTTATTGAATAAGTCCATAAAACACGTTTGATCCAAAATTGTTTTCATAACAATAAAACTAAAACTATTGGTTTGTGTCTATTAAATCTACAAACTATTATATTTATTTGTTACCGAACTGTATAAAACGCTACTTCAAAATCAGCATAAACAATTTCAAATTTACAATTGAAATATTATTGAAAGATAGTGATTATTGTTAGTAGTATGATTTAAGTATGAATAGTAAACATTTGTGTAAATATTTTACAGCAACATTTACTATTCATATAAATTTTACTATATTTACATAAACATTCTCTAAATGTTTAGTTATTAAAAACATAATTGTGTGTTCAATAAAAAAGTTTTCTTCACGATTTGTTTTTATTTTAAAATCATTAAGTATTATATGAATATTTATTTAAATTTTAGGAATATTTGGTTGAATATTTTTTTAATTTTAGTACAATCATTATAATAATATGTTAAAGTTTCTAAATAATTTTATAATTCATTATGCAATAACTTAGATAGCTTTTCATTAGGATGTTTTCATGGTTTTCTTTCGAAAGAGTTATCTGCACTGTCTACCGCTTGGTTAATAATTGTGTGAGGTGTTTTCTCTACAATTATTTCGTTTTCTCTATTATAAAAAAATTATAAAAATTCTATTGTTCTAAATCATTTTTTAGATATTTATGAAATGAAAATATCATTATAAAATTATCAATAATATTCATACGCTTATATTTTTCACTAAACATAATATTATGATGCTCGTTCATTATGTATGGAATGATGGGAATATGAACACATATTAATGGCAAGGCCGTATCCAGGGGGTCCAAAACTTGTAAATGTATACCGTTTTACCGCTTGCTTACCAATAGTACACTCGCAATTTCTTGATCAGATTATGATGGAATAAATTTAATTATTTTTTATAAGCTAATAGTACAGTGAAGCATCGATTATCCGCACTAATTGGGACGTGCGAAGGTACGAAGGGGGTGCGAATAATCGATTTATGCAATCAAACAACCAATAAAAATGTTAATATAAAGTTAAAAAATAATTTGTTGGATATAATACTAAATATAATATTCATACATAATATAAAAAATATAATAAAAAAATAAAATAAAAATATAATGTATTTATTTGAAATAATAATCAATTTTTTTTTCACTTCCGATGAACTTCTTTTATTTATTAAGTAAATTATAAAATTTATAAATAATCTCGCATTTCATAATATAACATTATATAAATATTTATATATAACATTATAGTGGTACACGATAAAACATAACAAATGATAAAACCAAATTAAATTAAACTAAAAATAAACTTGTACTCAAAAATTTTGTAGTGCGGATAATTGACAGGTCGGATAATTGACGTGCGGATAATCGACGCTCCACTGTATCTAAATACACATTTAAAGATACATTTTAAAATTCTTTAGGTATGCGCATAAGCAATAAAACATATTTTTTAAATAGCAACACCTATTTCGAACACCATAATCGGATAGGTCTAATTTTTTAAGATAATTTTTATGTGTCAATTATGGTTCTAAATTAAAAATTAACTGAATAAAAGCTATTTCAATTTTAACAAATAATACATTTTTACGATTTATTTAAGTGCATAAAAATCGTTTATAACTATTATTGGTTACTTCTTGTATATTTTTACGTATTTTTATGAAATTCAGTATTTCCTAAATTGGCGAACACGTGGTATAGTATACTTACTGAATTAAGATTTTGACATTTGGTTAAAAATAAAGTATATGAATTAAAACAATGTAAAACAATTAGTAGATATAGTAACATGGTATATAAAAAAATATAATCTACCTTTGGAAGTTTAGAATAATAATTTAATATTGTACATTATTGTTATCTCATTTACTCATTATGACGAATTTAATAAAACAATTCGACGTGTTTGTCACTGTCTGGTAATACAATTACAGTAATATTTTCTTTACATAAATATAATACCGTTATTATTAATCGTCGTCGACCGTCGAGACGTTAATCGGTATCGATAGTGGTCGTTATCGATCATTAACTAATAACTATCTGTAATTAGTATTATTAGATGCTAAAATAATATTTTCATATGATAATATTATGATTCAAAACAGTTAATAATCAATTAAATAAATTGTAATTTTAACCATATATGTTATTGGTATTAAAATTAAAAATAAATTGTTATTTTACATATTTTAAAATTATTTATTCCGGGGTAGGGTCCTCGGTCCCCTTGTACTTCTCTCTAGATACCACCATAATCAATGGTATAATCAGTGTAGTTAATCAAGTATTATTTTATTATCAAAAAGTAGATAATTCATAGTTTATTCGTATTTTATATTATTAATACACGATACGATAAATAATTATACATAGATCCAATTCGAACATATAATTTTATACACCTAGACTCAATTTAAAACTAATATTATTTTCGGGCTCAACTTTGATGTAACCTAAATTTGTGGATTCGCGTAAATTAATTATCAGGTTCACGTAAATTTTAATTTCACGTATACCCTCAAATTTAACTATATGTGAAATGGTGAAATAGATATTTCTAAAATAAACTTATGATAATAATAAATTAATATATACATGTTTAACTGTTTATTTTTTTAAAACCGTATACCTATCTGTAAATAATTATTTAAATCAGAATTAAATAATTTTTTTTAAATGTTGTAACTTATAAGTACGCATAGTTTGCTTTTTTCATAAATTTTGTTTTAAATAAAAATTTCAATTGAAAACATATCCATTTATATAATAAATACAAGCATTTGTATGAATTAATTTTATTATTTTTTAATTATTCTAATAACTTATTTTTCTACAGGTATAAATCTTTAAAAATATTTCCTCTATTCATCTCTATTAAAAAAAAAATGAAATCAATAATTTTTATATTTATAAAAACTAAATACGTGAAATATATTTATATAATTTACATATTATGTACTTTATTTGAGATATGTTTTTGTTTAACTTTAACTTTAATTTTAATTAGATTTTAACAACATTACGATAAGAATTGAAAATAAGTTTAATAACATAAAAATAAAAATTAGTTGTAAGATGAATGTTGGCGCTGCCATAATAATATATTATATATTATATATGTTACAGCTAGAATCCGAAATATGGCTAAAGTGCACATTATCCGGATATTGTGCACTCTAGCCATACTGGTAGGATAAAGTAAAAACATAACATTTAAAATCATAGTTTTGTACAAATTACCCGGCTAAAGTAACTTTAGCCATTGTATTATGACATAAAAGTTAAAAATTAAATATTAATAAACTAAATTTGATGCAATATTAAATTTATTTTTATTAGATATTATTAACACTATTTATTAGATAACATTTTTCATATAACTATTTATTTGAACATAGTAAACTTTGATGACATTTTGAATTGCATAAAATTCTTGATGCTTTGCATTTACATTTATTTGTTTTGTAATTTGATTTAAACACACAACGTTAATAACCTTGACCACCCAACAATGACATATTTTTTACCATTAATCAATGGCTAATGTTCAAAATACTAGGTTAATATAGGAATACTATGTAGTTTATTAATATGTAATTAATAATTATTAACCTATATTAATTAATTTTATTGAAATAAAATATAATTACATTAGCCATAACACAATGACTAATGTTACTTTAGCCAGGTAATTTATACAAAACTATGATTTTAAATGTTAAGTGTTTACTTTATCCAACCAGTATAGCTAAAGTGCACAATATCCGGATAATGTGCACTTTAGCCATATTTCGGACTCTAGCCGTAACATTATATATTTCTAATCGCGAAACGATTCAACCTTTCCCTTCGCTCTCCGTTTCCTATCCGATATTATTAGTGCTATCACCACTATTAACAGTTACTGTTATTGTTTTTTTTGTGTGTACTATGTTGTGCCTTTTGAATATTATTATTTTGTTTTTGTCTTTGGTCGTGCAAATTGTCATTATTATTTAATTATTATTTTATTACCATTATCTGTGGATACCTGTATTCGGCCAACGTCCTTATTATCATTGTTATTATTTTTCTTGTCATTTTTTTTACTCTGTCATCGTCTGTCGTCTTCGTTTTTACTACTGTTATTGTTTTTGATTGTTTTTCGCATACATTGCACATCGTCGGCATTAACTTTATTATATTTTATACAATCCATTGGTGAATTTGTTGCTGTTGCCATTACGGTATCAATTAATATATATTTTTTTCGCCATTACGGCATTTAAATAGTCTTAAATTATTTTGATTGTCGTGCATTATTGTAGCCACGTTAGTAGTCTACCTACTAACGTAGTGTCCCCGCGTACAATACAAGGTAAGGTTCTTCATTCGAGGCCGCATCTCAACACCCACCAATTTGCGTAAAACCGCCAGCAACATAGTATTGTGTTGTGTGAGAGGCCGCCCAGGATCCCTAGACGATCACTGCAGATCATCCCGTTATAAATATATAAATATCTAATTTTTAAGTTATTTGTAAGTGTCCTAAATGTATCAAATTAAAATTGTCCGATTCATGTGAGCCCTGTGAGTCATTGCACCAGACCAAACCGATCATAGGGCTTCTCCCCCATGAACTAAATTCAACTTCCTCTGTCTTGTGATTTATAACTTGTATCCTCTCCACTGTTTTTTCTTGTTCTCCTTGTTGTGTCGTTCTGTGAGTTGTGTTGAAGTCGGATGGCGGTGCATAGTGACCATAGGCACGTTGGGTTGCTTACCTACTACGCCGTAGATTTATTCTTTTCGTTTTATTTGGTTTTGTGGGCACCAACTGTTGGCGCAAACAATGAATGAAATATTATTGATATATTGCGTATATCTACTTAATCATGAACTAGAAATTGTTTATAAAGATGCTTAAAATTACATTTGTTTATATATAGGTACAAAGCAAACATTATGTAATATTCAAATCGAAAATGGTGACCATTTTTGTGACAAATTATTAGAATATCATTCAAATTGGTACTCGTCAAATTTAATGTATTTAGCTGTACTTGGAAAAGGTATAATAGTTATTAAAAATTAAATAAATTTTTTTATCTACAAGTTTTTAATTTGTATTATTTTTTAAAACTATTTTTTTTAGCGGATTTAGACACTTTAGAGAATATGGTATCGTCATTTTTTATGCATATTGAAAGGAAAGATATACTTTTGCAAGAATGGACTGATCCAATTTATAAAGAAGAACAACTTGCAACCAAGACTATTGTAGTTCCAGTTGAAGATAGCAAACAGTTATATATTAACTTTCTTATTAAAGACCAGGGACCACATTATAAAAGCATGGTAAATATATTTTTTAACTATAAAAACAGCTTTGATTTTATTCAATAACACATGTTTTTCTGCTAATAATAGCCTGTTGCGTATTTGAACTCAATATTATGTCATAAAGGTCCAATGAGTATTTCAGTTTTATTATCGAACAAAGGATGGTCTTCTGGAATTTCAGCTGGTAAGATATTTGAAGCTAGAGGCATTGAGTACTACGAGATTAATATGGATTTGACAGAGTTAGGATTGGATTATGTCGATGAAATAATCAAGTTAATATTTAAGGTAATCTGATGTGTAATTAATCAAATGAATATTTATTTAAATATCCATACATTTTTTATAATTTATGCGGTGTAGTATGTGAATATGTTAAAACGTGAAGGCCCTCAAGAATGGTTCTACTTAGAATATAAATATATTAATGAAATGGAATTTCAATATAAAGACAAAGAAGCATCATTATCTTATGTTTTTATGCTTACTCCTCGGATGATAGTGAGTTATAATTTTAATTCAATACAATGTCATAATAGCATTATTTAAATCTTAATCTCCCGTGTTTAGAGATATAAATTGGAAGATGTTTTAACAGCTGGAAATTTATTAGAAGAATGGAAACCGGATTTAATAACAGAATTGTTGTCTTATTTTAGACCAGACAATATGAGGTATGAATGAGATTTATAATTAATAGATACGAGGTACTTACCTACAAAGTAGAATGGTACCTACCAAATTATAACTAATTACTTCATGTAACATTAAATATTTAAGCACTCGTTATTATAATAGTGTAGTTATAATTTGTTGATAATTTTGATAACAGAAAGAAAAACATCAATAGAAAATTTTTATTAAAGACCAATTCAAATATTATATTAGCACTAGGTGTTTAAATTATACAGATGTTTGAAAAATGAAGTAATTCACAATCACCAAGACTTGCGTTAACTGAAAACATGTTTCAAAAAAATAACACAATTTTTCAACAATTTGCTTAAATAATTTTATTGATGTAATTCTATTTCAGAGTCACAGTTGTTTCCAAAACATTTCAAAACCAGACTAATGCAGAAGATAAATATTATGGGACACTGTTTAAAGTATCTAAAATTCCAGTGGAAACAATTAATGTAATTGATGATTGTTATACCTTTAATAAAATGCCTTTAAGGCGCTTAAAACTGACATATAATATTGATACTCTTTTTTTTTAGTATTGGCTTGAAGTTGATGATCTCGATGATTTTAAAATGCCACAAAAGAACAGATACATTACAAACAATTTTAGCCTAGTGACCTTTAATGATAGCGTAATGAATTATATCTATACTAATATCCAATACTATTAACTAATTATTTTTTCATAACTTTTTTCCATACAGCTTGAATTTGATACTCCACGGTTATGTTATAACACTTCGTTTCTAAAATGCTGGTTAAAAAAAGATACAAGATTCAGGTTACCCAAAGTATATATTTCAATTGACTTCTTCAGGTAAAACCTTAATGTTTCAAATAATATAACTAACCAATATATCCACTGTTTACTGATACTTAATCGGTAAAATTTAATACTAATTCTTATTCAACAAATTTATAAAAATAATTTAATTTAAGACACTAGTACCAATTACATTACTTAATATTTTTCATAATAAAAACTCTAAGGTTTTAATATCGTTAGAAAGTTACAAAAGTTAAAATATTTTTAGCAAATCAGAACGTTATTTTTTTTTTTAAATAAGTAATAACATTGTACAATATTAGTATTTAGTAGACATTTTGAAACTTTGACAACAAATTTACTAAAATATTTTAAATAAAGTATTTTTATTTTAATCATTTAAATTAAAAAAAAAATTAAATAGTTTTTATAAAATTTGTTATTTTAAGTTTATCTCTCTCTCAAAAAAAAAAAATTCAGGATATTAAATTAATTCTTTTATGTATTGTTATTTTACTTTTAAATGTTTTAATGTTTTTTATTCTAGACTTCTCTTTGAATTATTTTAACCTATTTATTAATTTTTTCATGCAGTCCCATCGTTGTGAATGATCCATTCAAATGTAATATTGTGGATATTTTTGTGAGATTATTTAATCAAGATTTTTCCAGTCGCCTATATGATGCAAGTAGTGCTAGACTTCAATTTCAAATAAAATCAAAAATTTATGGATTCAGCGTAATTTTATTGTATAGTAAAAATATAGATATTTTTAAATTTTCAAACAATCAATTTTTAGATTTTACTTAGCGGTTTCAATCTCAAGATTCATAAATTATTGAAAAGGGTACTGGAAAGACTGATGACGATCAATTTTAGTTCACAACAAATTGAATCTATAATAGAACAAGTAAACTAATTAATTTAAATATAATAACTAACGTGCATTTCAAATAACTTGGTTAACAATTGTTGTTTTATAGAAAATCCGGCAATTGAATAATACTGAAATGGAACAACCGTATAACTGTGCAATACGGTATAATGATGTGATTCTAACAGACGCCGCATTGAGTCCAAGTCAATTATTAATGTCTATTAGTGGTAAATTCATACCAATATTATTTCATAAATTTGAGTTATTAAATAATTTATGAAAACTTATTATTTTAGAAATTAACAAGGACATCTTGCAAGACTTTATGAAAAAGTTTTTTTCAAACATGTTTATGGAATCATTAATTTATGGTAACCTAGACAAACGCGTAAGCACATATAATTATAACTTGTACTATGATTTACGAATAGATTATCAATAACTTATACTGTACTACGATTGTTATTTAATTGGTTAACTAGTTTATTAGTTTATTTGGTTTAATTTATTTTAGTGGGCATGGATCTTTGTTCATGAATTGAAAAGACCGTTTATTAACATTGAATTTCGTCAACTATTGCAACAAGAAATGATCAGACCAAGAGAAGTCAAAATTAGCGATGGTAAGTAAAATCTTTTAATGAAATCATAATTTATTAATATATATTCTTTATTATTGCGAAATACTATTGATTAATATTAATGTTTATATTTTACCGAATTAGTTATCAGCATATTTTATAACAATAGTTTATTTTCATCCTTCATCTTTACACGTATCATAATTTTTTTTGTTTATTGTATAAGTAATTTTACGTTATAATTTATAATATTATGGATCCAACCGAATTGTGGCCATCAGGATAATATTATGTAATATAATATATCTCACCAGTAAATTGTATTTATATGAGTGTATAAACTCTAAACATATAATGTAGGTTCTCTTTGACCTTTATTTTAGTTTAAACCGTATACTTCAGTAAATATACTACAAAGTTTGATAAAAACAATACAAAGTTTCGAAATTTTTGAGTCAATACTTTGATGAATAATAGATATTATAACAAAACTAATCAACGTTGACTATTATAACTTAACATTTTAAAACACATTTGTGAAAAAATACAAATTTATGTGACGGCCATATGGAGAGATCCGTTTATAATTCACAGTTTTTTTTTTTTTGTAACTTTAAAATGTATGAATAAAACACTTTGATATGAAAAATTCAAAAGTTTATCACACGTACAGATTTGTATTCATTGTTTTAATTCAGCGTAACAAGAAGTGTTCTAGAATTTTTTTCTTCTAATAAATGTAGTTTTAACGATTTTTCTTTAGAATACATTTCATTGTTCTTATTCTTACTAAATAAAAGTGAAATCTTTTTTTTATTTTTTTATTTTTTTTATTTATTTGAAGAAATCTACAATCTATACATGTTCTTAGTATAATAAGTAGGTTTGATAAGTGACAGAAGAAATAGTACAAGAATATGAATAATAAGTTAGGGAAGATACCCAATGGTAACACCCTAAAGTGACAAGAATAACAATGAGAGAGAGAAAAGAAATAAAATAATAATAATAAGAAAAACAAATTAGTAAATAGTAGTTAATTTGCGGTTTGGAGGTGTTACCAGGTAGCGACCTCCAGCACTTATTTAGCTCGATTGTTAAGAAGATCTCTACACCATTGTCTCTTGAGTCTGCGGCGCGGGTTACCAGGGAGTATGTTAGTTGATAATTTAGAGATTAGAGGATTTGTGTGTTGTTGAAGTTTGTTGTGGAGTCTGGTGTAATATAGTTTAGAGATTTGGTTAAGATTTTGGATTTTGAGATCTTTGTGAAGGTTGTTATTGGTTAGGTACCAGGGTGCGGATGTAACTAGGCGAAGGCATATTGACTGAAAGGCTTGGATTGTACGAGTGTTTGAGGGTTTAGCGGCACCCCATAATTGAACGCCATAGGTCCATAGTGGCCTGAGTAATGACTTATATATTAGTAGTTGGGTATTGATATTCATTTTGGATTTCAGTAATGGTCTAAGAAGGTGGAGTCGGGTGTTAAGGGCTTTCCGTTTGGCTTTTAGGTGGGGATTCCAGGTAAGTTTACTGTCGAGGATGAGGCCAAGATATTTGACTTCAGAGTAGGGAGGGATTGGGATGTTATTCAGTGTGACTACGGGGCAAGATCCTTTTTTTAGGGTAAATGTAATGAAGGAGGACTTGGATTCATTGATTTTAATCTTCCATCTTTTTGTCCAGAGGTCGATAATGTTGAGGTGTCTTTGTAACATACTAGAAACAGTGTTTGGGTTTTCATTGGAGGCCACAATTGCCGTATCATCCGCGTAGGAACCGAGTTCAGTAAAGGAAGTTTTAGGGATGTCGTGCGTAAAGATATTGTAGAGAAAAGGGGCAATATCGCTGCCTTGGGGAACTCCAGCTAGGATGTTGAAGTAGTTTGAGTGGCTCGAGTTCTGGCGTACGACGAAAGTACGATCGCTCAAATATGATTTAACCAATAAGAAGTAAGGCGCAGGCAGAAATTTTTTAAGTTTGAAGAGTAGGCCATCGAACCATACCCTATCAAACGCTTGTGCAATGTCCAGAAAGACGGCAGCGCAGTAATGCTTTTTCTCTAGAGAAACTGAGATAGTGTCTACTACTCTGTGTAGTTGGTGAATGGTGGAGTGATTGGGTCTGAATCCAAATTGAGTGTCAGGGATAACATTTGCCTTTATAGCTAGTGGTATGAGCCTCTTTAATAGGATTTTTTCGAATACTTTAGATAATGTTGGGAGTAAACTTATAGGGCGATAAGAAGTTACTTTTTCAGGAGGTTTGTTGGGTTTTGGGATCATTATTATCTCTGAAAATTTCCAGGTGAGGGGGAAATAGGATAAACGCAGCATTGCGTTATATATATAGGAAAGCAATATGATTACTTTTTTGGGTAGACTTTTGGCAATACGATTTGTAATTCGGTCGAACCCGGGGGCTTTTCTGTTATGGAGTTTTTTTATAATGAATTCGATTTCGCCGGGGCTTGTGTGTTTAGCTGGGAGTGAGACGGGCAATGCGCATTCTAATGAATGTGTGATAATTTGGCTTTGAGTGGGATTTAGAGTTATGTCGTGGGAAGTGAAGGTTTGGGATAGATGTTGGCCAAATAGGTTTGCTTTTTCTGTGTCAGAGACCGCCCATGAGTTATCTTCTTTACGGAGTGGAGAGGAAGTTGAGACAGTTTTTAGGATTTTTTTCGTCGTTTTCCAAAGACAAGAGTTATGAATTGTTAGATTTTGGATAAATTGTTGATAAGTGATGGAGTTGTGATGTTGGAGTGCTTTCCTTAATTTGTTATTTAGTTGGTTGTAAGTGTGTTTGTCGATGGGGTATTTGTGCCTTTGCCATCGGGATCTTGCTTTTCTTTTTTCACTGAGTAGAGATTTTATATGATTTGGAAGTAGGCTATTGGGGCGAATTGTGCTTGGTGATGTTGCTAGGTGAATGCATTCCTGGATATCTGAAGTGAGCTTTTGGATAGTGCTGTCGATGTCTTCACTTGATTTTAAGGAAGGGTTGAGTAATGTGCGAGTTTCAATGAGTTGTTGGAAAGTAGGCCAATCTATTTTTCCAAGATTTTGAAGATTTGTGGAGGAGTTTGAACTGGGAATTTCGAGGTCAAGTATGACTGGTGAGTGGTCGGATGATAGGTCATTTGTGTTAGTGATATTAGTAGTGCAGTTACTTGGTATTCTTGCGATGAAGATATCAAGGATATCTGGGCGACGGTTTTGATGTGTTGGCCAATAGGTGGGGTTAGAGGGTGGTAGTATTTTTATGTTGGAGTTATTTGTTGAGTTATAAAGGATTTTCCCTCTTGGGTTGGTTGAGAGGCAGCCCCAAGAAGAGTGTTTGGCATTGAGGTCTCCGGCGACAATAAAGTACTTACCTAGAGACTCGAAGTAGTTTAAGAAATTGTTAGTGTTAATTTTTGGTCCTGGAGGGCAGTAGATGGAGGAGAAGGACAGATTAAAATGTTTGTTGACGGAAACTTGGATGCTTGTTGCTTGGAGATATGTTTCGCTAATGAAAGGAAGAAGGGAGTGAGTTAAATTATTTTTAACTAAGATCACCGAGCCAGCATGGGCAGTGGAGTCTGGGTGATTACTTTGATAAACTTTGTATCCAAGAATTTTAATTGTTTTTGTCGGGGTTAGGTGAGATTCGGATATCATTGCTATGTCTATGTTATGAATGTTGAGGGCTGCCTGAAGCTCAAGTTTATGGGATGTAATGCCGTTAGCGTTCCATGTGAGTAATCTAAGTTTAAAGTTAGTTTCCATTGTTGGTACTTAATTTATTTATTAGTGAGGTAAGAAGGGTTATTAAGGGATTAAGAAGAGTTATGAGAGGAGAGATTAGAGTTTTAAACTCAGATATGAAAGTTGTAAGTTGGCTTGTAATTAGTTGATCGGAGGGTGGGTCGTTTGTGTGGTTTGATTTTAACTTATTTGTTTTATTACCTTTAACCACTTGAGAGAATGATAAGTGCTGGGTGTCACTGGGTTCATTTAGAGATCTTGCGGGAGCATTGATCAGATGAGATTCTCCTGGAGGAGGTTGGTTGTTGGGTTGGACTTGAGATGTGTCGGAGTTTTCTGTTGTCGGTCTTGAGATGGTGATCGGTAGTTGTTTTTTACGGAAACGTTGGAGGTCTTTGTGGACAGTGCATCCTCTGTAGTTTGCCGGATGGGCCTTGCTGCAAAGTGCGCATTTTGCAGGTAGATCCTTGGATTTGGAGCATTGGTCCGAGGTATGGTTTTCGCCACATCGGACGCATTTAGGCAGATGATTGCAATATGATTTAGTGTGGCCGTACTGTTGGCAGCGATGGCATTGGACTAGATCTCGTCTGATGTGTGGGGCTTCAATTTTGACTTTAGTAAAACATATGTTATTTATTTTGAAGATGTCTTGGTTGTTTGGGGATGGGTTTAGGTCTACAAAGAATAGTGGAAGGGGTTCTTTTGATTGGGATTTTAGGATATTAGTGACATTTTTTACCATAAAACCATGTTTTTCAATTTCTTCTTTAATGTAATCAGTAGGGATTGTATGGTGCAGATTCCTAATAACGACTCTGTATGATTTTTCCTCGTGTGTCTGGTACGTGTGGTATTCAAGTTTGTTCTCGTTGAACAATGATATAGCGGCACGGTAAGAGCAGGCTGAGTGAAGGTTTATTTTTATATTTTTTGAGTTAGACTTGCAGAGGAATCCCTCGGTTTTCGTTATTTGTTCAAGATTTTTACACAAAGTAATGAAATTAATCGGAGATGTTAAGAAAATTGGTGGAGGAGGAGGTGGTGGTGGAGGTAATTCGTTAATTTCTGTGTTAGTTTCGAGATCCATATTATCTTCTTCGGCGTTGAGTAGAGAAAAACGGTTTGGTGTGGGGAAATTTGACGGCTCGTTTGTTTTTTTTGTGCGAGGCGAGGTAGTGTTATTAGGTGACCTAATGCGTTTATTGCTGTCGACAATATTCCATTCTAGGTCGTTATCTGAGGTAGCAGACGGAGAAGTTACGTCGTGCGTCTTGTGAGAAATAGTTTTTGTGATAACTAACGGAGATAATTTCGATTTGTTTTTAATTTTATTTGTGTCTGAGTTGTTTCGATGCATGGTGCAGTTGTTATTTGTTGATAAGTTGCAGGTAACGGCCTACAGCCGGTATATGACGGTGGTGGCGGATTAGATTGTGTTTTTGTTCAAGCGTACAGAAATATACGGATAAGAATGATAATTATACTGAATAATACGGTTCGATTTAGTAAAAAGTGAAATCTTAGATTAGGTTTCTTTGATTATACCATTGATTATAGAATATACTATATTATATTCTATAATCAATGATTATACTATATCGGTTATTCTGATTTTTTTGCAATAATATTTTAGGTGAGAATACATTTTACGAAATAACAACGAAATTGCACAGCAGCTCGTGTGTTTTTGTTAATCTGCAGTGCGGTATTCAGAATACAAAGGATAACACGGTAGTTGGCCTGTTTTCGCAAATCATCGAAGACTCGTGTCATAACATTTTGCGTACACAGGTAAAAGCGATTTAAATTATAGTAATATGATGACGAATGTATTAAAACAAATATCAGTTTAAATTATTTAATCAATAGTCAACAAATAGACACAATAAGAACCTAAACGAGTTCTTAGATGCTACACTCAGTTTTTAAGGGGTTTAATGTAAGCAATTTTAATGAAAGATGAGAATTTCAATTTTTAATTTAACATAGGACGTATATATACCTACGAATTCCGAGCAACTTATAAGTGGTAATCTCAGTACCATTGTTAGTTGTTGTGTAATTACAAAATTATACAAAAATCAATTACAAATAACAAATACAATTTTGTCTGTAATACGAGAAGAAATTTAACAGCTCATAAATTATTTAATTTTTTTCGATATTACAGAAACTATTATATTTTCAATAATAATTTCTAGGAACAACTTGGATACGTGGTAATGTGCGTAAGTTATAAATCCAACGGAGTACTGTATTTTGGTATCATTGTGCAGTCGGATCATAGTCCAATGTTCATTCACGAAAGAATCGAACATTACTTAAGCACCGTTGAGGTAAGCTGACCAGATTGGTTGAACCTACGCATACTCATACATATATATTCCGACACATATATAATATTGAAATGCTTCCACGATATTGTACAGTCAATATTGAACAACCTTACCGATGAAGAATTCCTCAAGAACAAAGAGTCTCTGTCCGTAAAAATAGTAGAGAATCCAATGGGTATGATGGCACAGGCTGCCACCTACTGGTCGGAGATCACCAATCAACACTACAATTTTAACCGAGGGGAAATCGAAAAAAAAATGTTAACATCGATTACCAAAAAAGATATTTTAAAATTTTACTACGTGAGGCATTTATCATTATAATAATTTAAATTCACCTATGTTCTATGACTACTACAGTGCGAGATTAAAATATGTCAATTTGATTATAGCAAAAAATCAATGTGGCCGGACCGAAAAGGCACATGTTGTCTGTATACGTCAGATCTATAATGAACAAAAATCCCGAAGAATACAGTCATTGCAGCGATTCGTCAACGTCTAATAATTTATTCATACCCAGTAATGTAAGTGTTGTTACTTGTTATATTGTATAATTACGTTTGTATTAAATCTTCATAAAATTGTAATGATGTATGAATATGAGCTATCATTAATTTTCTTCTCCTAGATCCAGAAAATTATCGACATAGACGATTTCAAGAGAAGCCATCAATTGTATCCGGCTCCGAGACGATATTTAACACATGATGAATATTCTGCACATAAGTAAATATTTTTAATTATCGACTGATTCTCGTATACATTTTATAGTCATAACGGCTAACGATATTATAGTTTAACTGCAGGTCTTTAGTATAAAGATTATTCTCTAATGACCAAAGTAAAGTATTGATGATGAGATTGGCAAGGATATAATTCTCCTCCCTTATAAAAAATTTTTTAATATCAACAAATATTTATGTTATTTTAATGTTTATAATATGTTTAATTATATTAGACGAAATTGTGGTAATATTGAAATCTTAAAATATTATTTAAAATTTGATATGATTTTTCGTAAAAATAAAATGTAGGAGATAATAGTATATGTAATTTTTTCTAGCTAGGGTTTGGAAATTAACCCCAAAAATAATAAACATATTCTTCAGATTTAAAAATCACCAATGAACGATCATTGTAAAAAAATGTTATCCTTACATTACTATGAAGATAAACTAATCGAATAATATCTATATAGGTAATTTACAGTATATTTACTTACTGTATATTATTACTTTACAGTAATAATTATTGTAATACTTACTATTTTAATCAAAACAATTTTGTACGGTAAGTCAACTACTGCAATAGTACGAGTAACCTTTTTAAAGCATATTCTATTGTATTGCAGGTTTAACTGTTGTGCTAAATGTAACATACTATAAAGTTCCGCGTTGAAATACTTTTCTATCATCGTATTGAAGTTACTTCTGCAGCCCACAGTTAAATAATATTCTACAGTAATGTATATATATTACTCAAATGGAATTCATTGTTCATGTAACTCATCCAGTAAACAACTCTCAACAAGGCGAGCATGTTTGCGTTTTTAATTAAAAAATTAAAAAATTTACTGAAATATAATGTTATATTACTATGTTATGTTTAAGTATTTTAGTTAATTAAAAATCATAGTTATTACCTACATGAAATACTACTACAGATATACGAGTGGCAGTAGTGAAGCTACCTATAGAAAAAAGAAACATTGTCTGTTTTCAATTTAAGCTGATTTCCATGTATATATATATAGTCAATTTGTGTTTTATAATCGTATTTTATAATGTTTTTATAAAAACATATTCTGTTTTATTATAGATAAATATTTTAGTTTATAAAAATTTGATTATAACAATTATAAAATCGTTGACTCCAAAAACCACACAATTTTAAAAATTGTCGTATCCAAAAACCGCACAGTTATGATTTTGACCCCAAAAAGGTCGATAAACAAAAAATGCTTATGTATATGTATAATTAATTATTTGTTCTCATTATTCTCAGTTCATCAAAAAAAATGTATATATTTAAAAATTTTAAATATTAATTTAAAAAAAATGTCAACTTAAAAATGTATATATTTAATAATTAAAAATATTAATTAAAAAAAAAAGTGCAAAACTAAAAATTTATAGATATTTCAAAAATTTAAAATATTAATTTAATAAACATTTAAAACTTTCAAAGTTAAGCTGTAACCGACTGCCGACATTTTTTAAAAACTTTATACGATCTCCGTCACGTAAAAATTCTTCCCAAAATTGAAACAAATGCTCCTACTAAGAACGACTAATAACAAAGACAACTAAATACTTGATTGTTGAATAGTACATATCTTATAATCTTATCTTTTCACTATTTTCACTAAAAATATTGTGCGGTTTTAACTCATTAAAAATGTACGGTAATTTGTTATACAATGACCGATAAGCTGTGCGGTTTTTGGCTATCGACCTTTTTAGGGTCAAAATTAAAAGTGTGCGGTTTTCGGATGCAACCTATAAAATATACATGTATAAGCAGGTATAAATAGGCGCTGTCGGATCAAAACAACATAATAGTCAATAATATGTTATATGTTATAATATGTTATGTAATATGTTATTTGTTAGATAATTAAAACAATGTGAATAGTGTCTCATACTTTAGGACATGTGAAATGATGGGTTCTTTTAAGAGGGGCATCATGCGCATTGAATTAATGGAGACATGTCTCACAAATGTATCGTAAATTTATAAATATACCCGCATGGCGATAATAATATAATATAGTAATTTTATTAGTAACATTCTTATTCGTATCTAATAATAATAATAATAATACGTAGGTATAGCTAATTTTTTTGCAAAAAATAAATATTGATTTAACCAATAAAATAATATAAAAAATTTGTTTGTATTATGAATAATATAGGTTTAATTATGTATTTTAGATTAAATAATTTCTTTCTAAAAAATATTATTTTAAATTTTCAATGAGTAGTAATTAATTTAAGCTCGTACTGTCCCAGATCTTTGGTTAGCGATTGTTGACGGGGCCCTCGACTCGTCAATTTATTATTTTATTACATTTTTGTTTTAAATCTTAAAATAATTTTCAGAATGGAAATGAAAAAGGGATTAAAAAATATTTTTACAATTTTTAAATAATTGTAAATAATAATACTTATATTGCACCTAGTAATTTTTAGTATAAATTCTACTGTTTTTACATTTTTTCAGCCTCGTTAATTTAATTATCTTACGGCTTTTAACATGACTTAAAATTTATTATATAAAATTTAAAAAAAGGGAGATAATTCTGATCAAAGATTTACTAAATTTCATTCTGTTGTGCATAACTTAATACAAAAAATTAAATTTTATGTCATAACTAAAACTTTCAATGAAACAATGTCTGATACCGATTATCAATACCATGACTATGGATCGGATTCTAAAAAAGAACAATAAACTAAAGAATCATTAGATTGTGAAGTTTGTAATAATTGTTTAAGATCTGCTTTTAACATTTTGTATGATATGGTTCAATAACTAAGTAATTTCAATAATATTTTCTATGCTTATACATTTGTGTTGAAATTGTTGTTTATCAAGTAATATGCGAACACACTTTCTTAAAATTAAAAAATATTAAAACCAAACTAAAGTTTTTATTATTATAAGATTTTATGGAAAAATTATAACTAATTAATATTGAAAAGTTGATAAAGGTTTGTTTATTAATAATTTTGTTAAAAGTTCAACAGAACTAACTAGAATATTGTTTTAAAATAAGTTTATAATTATAATTAGTAATTCAAAATTATTTGTATTGTATAGTAATTATGGTTTGATACTTTGTTTTAACTATCTATGTGATGTACATTGAGTTTTTTTTTATCAAAGAGAAGTACCTATGACAACATTTAATTTATTGTTTTTCAAAATTATATTCAAAAATAAAACGTGTATTAAACCAAAAAATAAAATATTATCTTATTTGTACTATTGTCAATTAATTTAAAATAGTAATTCATTATGTATGATTAAGTTAGTAAGATTAGTAAGGAGTAAACAACAATTAAAAAAAAGCATTTTCTAACAGCTCTGGGGGCTCTTTATAGAGATCGCTGATGTGGCCTTTTGGAACTAGTCCAACACTGGCAAATATTATTTATTGTAGTTGGTAAATACTAAATAACTATTAAGGAGGGCAGGAAGTTATAATTATAATTAATAGTATGGTACTTATTCGGTTACGTATACCTAGAACGGAAATCTTCTGTCGGTAGGTGAAGTACCAAATAATGTCTAGATAAACTGAATATGCTAGTGGAAAGTTTGATTAGCGAATAGCAACGAATCTATGAATATTTTTAAAATCGAAAAAATTTTTACGGTACTGGTATGACTTGGAATAAAATTGATGAAATAATGTATTATCATATTACAAAGTTTAACTCTCAAGTAAAATCCACGAATATTAATCAAAAATAACAATGAACGGTTAGAAAAACAATTTAAAAAAAAATCTATTACCTTGCCAAATATAATTTTTGCATGACATAACATAGTTGTTATTAATAGTTATACATTTTATAACATTAGTCAACACCAATTTTAGCACAGCCTAATCTACAAAATATATAATATTAATTATGAAAATCAAGATTACCTGGACGTTATTCTAAACTAAGTTTTTCAATTATTTGCACTATTTTACGACTAAGATCAAATAAGAAATTGTTTTGGTAACTATCAGAATAGTTAACAATGTATTAATTTACCAACACATAAATTATTTAAATGATATCTATATATAAACACAATACTTTCAAAAATGGACTGGATACGTTATTGAGAAATGTAGGTGAACGGTGAAGGTGAAGGAAAGTTGTTGGTAAAAAAACAACCGCAGCACCCCTAAGTGGAACAGCGGTGCGCTGACTTATTCTTCTGACAACAGAGGCGAAGTTTAGAGCTAAGCCCCTGGCAATTTTTAAAGTGACAACTGGTTCGTTATACATGGGGACACTGTTTGCGAGTTAGACAAAACAGCGAGCTGAAGTTGGTGGAATTGGGAGCTTAGGTAACCAGCATGCGTAAAATCAGGGATGGGCATTTGTTAGTCGAGCTAACCAAAGATGCTGGATTCGTAATAACAGCACAGAAATAGTCGTCAGCCATTGCTACCAAGCTAGGTGAGGTGGTTGAAGAAAATATTGTAGCTTAATCAGTACCCCATTGTTGAGATTGTTGACCTTGTTGCAGTGGCAACCGAGGGTGAGGTCCTCTTGGCTTTGCGGGCGATAAACCCGGATCTGAAGACGGTCAAGCTACCATTTGCGAACGGCAGGTAGTTCAGATTACTGGACTTTAGCTCACTAGGTCTGGTTATTAAATTGCTACCGCTAGAATGACAGAATGACTAGGGCTTCTGCTTTCACAGTTTCCCGTATTCCGATTGAATAGACTATGTCCCGTATTCGCCCTAGACGTCCAGAACCTAAGAAGTGTTTCCAATGCCACGGCTTCGGAGAACTGAGCAATAATTGCTCTGGGCCGGGTCTGTCCACGAATTTCAGACGGTGTGGCAAACCGGGTCACGAGCAGAAGCAGTGCTTGGCGGACAGAGATCGGTGTAAGGCTTGTGATAAGCTGGTAGTGTTCGTTTCACTCTCGAACCTGGTTCGGATGCGTGCAAAGCCAGGAAAGAAGCGCTCAAGCTCCTAAGCTAGCGTAGCTCTAAGCTTCAGGCCAGAGCGATGAATAGTGATGCGGCATCACACTTCTCACAATGATCAGGTATATGCAAATCAATTTGAATTATTGCTGGGCGGCCTAGCAGCTGCTTAAACAAACAATTGTTGGACTTAGCGATAATTTTGTGCTTGCCTCAGAACAACTGCGTAACCCAGCAGATAATATGAACTGGGTTTCTAGTGAAGATACGTGTGTTGTAGTTGCCGTTGGCTCTTCCACGACTGCCATAGAGGACAAAAGTAGCGGGTGGGGATTTGTTTGGTTCAAGCTGAGGAATATGGTGATTTACAGCTACTACTACCCTTCTAACTGTAGTACGGCAGAGTTTGAGGATTATCTACGCTAATTGAACAATTCGATTCGTGTCCATCAAGACTGCAAAGTCGTAGCTAGAAGGACTTCAATGCACATTCGGCCATGTGTCAAACTTTCGGGTTGGACGAATAAGAGGTCGCGAACAAGCTCACCACCGGGGTAGTGATCGTCCCCTTGTTTCCTGGTAGATCAGAACTACGATCTGGAAAGAATACAACTGGTGCGATGCTGACATTGATGGTGGACACCAATACATTTCAACATGATGAGTACAACTAAACGATACAACGTTAATTCTCCAGAGGGTTCGGGTACCAAGGAGGCGATGACTGGAATGGTTCATCCCAGGAATCGTCATCAGTTA